CACGCCGACGGCGCGCCCTCCCAAGCCCACGCGGGCTTGGGCCCGCAGAGTGGTCAGCGCCAGATGCGCCCCCTTCCGACAAGGATCTCCTCGCAAGCTTTTGCAGCCTAGCCAACTCGCACATGGCCGCGTCTACAAGCGCACCCGGCAGCTCCACTGAGGCCCACGCGGCGGGGGCGCCCCCCCCTCAACCGCAGGCAAGAAGACGCACCGTGATCTTTTAAACCCCGGCTCACCAGGGCATCCGAGCTAGTGGCGAAGCCTGCGTTGCACCTGCAGCCGCAACTGCGGGGGACACCCAACCACTGCCTCTCCTCGTATTTTGGTTATAGAAGAGATCCGATCTCCTTGCCGCCCAGAGAGGCAATGCGCGTCGGAGTCCATCAAGCACCTGTCACAACTGCCGTCGTAGTGCCTGCCAGATGATTTTCTTCGGTCCTTTCGAAGGCCTTGGCGCGCAGCCCCGCATCTCGTCGGTCCGCACCTTGCTTCTGTCACTGACCATCCCAGTGCTCGCTTGCTTTGGCCCGCAATCATCTGTCGATGGGGCTCCGACGGAGCCTACTGCTGGGCAGCGAAATCCTGCGGTCCATCCCAAGAAATGGAGACTTGAGGTCGGTGCCTACCTCCATCTGCCCGAGTGCTTACGAGATCCCACCCTGATGCCGAGTAAAGTGGCGATCTCTGCAGACACCGCGCCAGAAATAGCTCTTTATCTGTCTTTCTTCGCTCTGGCAGCACCTCCGAGCCTGGCAACCCTTTCCATGCGCGTCTTGCCAACTCCTTATCGAAGACCGGCCTGACAGCCTGACAACGACTGTCATCCAATGCCCCGCCAGCCTCTGAACAATCTGACATAGTGGGCACGTGCGTCCGATGCGAAGTCGAAGGAGACTGGCCCGGCGACTGTGTACGGGGTTGAAGTACAAGGGTACAGAACCCCTGGTCCGTTGGTAGAGAGATGGAGGGATAGATGGAAATCTTTCCCTCCCACGCGATCAAGGTACGATCGCTCCAACTCAGTACCTGAGCCCAAACGGCCAGGTGCGGGAGAGGTAAGGATAAAGAATATATA